TAACACACACACACACACACACACACACACACACACACACACACACACACACACACACACACACACACACATATTCATGATATATGAATATATAATATATATACATGCATACATATATACATACATTTGTCACGATTATGTAGAATGAATATTTAAAGTGTAAAAAAACAAACTATGTAACTACATATCACTTTTTAAAACCACTTTTCTTTACACCAACTGAGTCATCTTATTATTCTGTGCATAAAAATATTCCGATATGTTTGTCAACAAATTAATTTACGAGTTACATTTTATGTCAAAATGTGTCAAAATAAAGAATAACATATCTCGCAAATTTTTTTAATATTTTTTATTAATTATTTTTTATTAATATTTTTATCTTAATACTTTTGTTTATATAATATAATATAGTTAGGGATATAATATTTCAAAACAAATTATATTATTCCATTAAAATCCATAAAAAAAGTAGAAGCAACCTTGAAAAATCAAGTTTAAAAAATTGATTTATCATTATTTGAAATCATCCTTGAAATCATAAATTTTTATCTGAATATATTCTTGATTCGACACATATTTTCCCATAGAGCTATAACGTTTCTTTTTCTTATTTCCGTCTGTTGCCAATGAATATGCATTTCACGAACACTGAGTATATTTTATCTGACTGAATATATTTATATATTCATATAATAAATAATTTATATATTTATATATATTTATTTTAACAATGAGAAATTATTATCATATATATGCAATAGTTTAATCATTTACTTGACATTTTATAATATTCTTTCGTAAATACAAAGTAAAAAATATAATAGCATGGGATAATAACTTATAACATTTTAAATGCTCCATTTTATATCACTCGACTAAGAATAATTTTCTTTTCAATGATACAAACGAATTGTAAGTTATTTTTAGAAATGTAAGCATAGCCACTTGAATACGTAAATATATTTAATAAATACTTATATCACCTTCAATTACTGATAAATAGTAATCAAGGTATCAAGTCGCAATAATAACTTTATACTGACAATGAGATCAAATAAAATATTTAATCACAGGCCACACACAGTGTATGAGTATTTTTATTAATCATTTTAATAGTATAAAGAGTATGAAGCAATAATAGTACGAATATATGAAACTTCAATAAAACAATTATCAGAAATCATTAATTGTTATAATATCATATCAATACAAATGATAATACAATGTGATAACGATTACTATTCATTTCTTTAGTATCTCCAAAGGAATATCGAAATTATGTCAATTAAATGATTAAACTATTGAATATATGATAATAATAAAAATATAATCATAAAATATAAAATATAATTGTAAAAAATATAATCAGTATTTGTGAAATGCAAATTTGTTAATAACAATTGAAAGTAAAAAAAGAAACATTAAGTATTGTATTGGGATATTACGATATGTACAAATGTATATGATGTCGCATGTATTAAAACGAAAGATTGATCAGTAGATACACAGAAATTTTAGCCAGATGTATCCATGTATCATTTTATCCTTCTTTTTCAATTAATAAGGACAAAAAACGTTATTTAAACTGAATCTTTAACATACTTACCGGTATTTTGCTGCTTTTTAAGAAGTCCAACAATGCTTCGAGAGCTCCTAAAGTTGATGCCTGGACGTAAACTCCTCGTTCAGCTAGCCGTATATTTCCCAGAGCACTAGACAATTCCTTTGCTATTTCTTCCTTCATAACATCTACTTCATCTGGTTTCTGTGCGACTTGCAGATTTAACCCTGTATGCGAATATTTATATTATTCGTTTTAGTCTTAAAAATGTAAAACATACATGTATTTTAAATGTAAAAAAAGTTAATCTTATCGAATAATTAAAAGTAGATTATGTACCAGCAATGGCCTTTTCCAAATCTTTAGCAGCAATTTTTATTCCTTGAGCAGCCTTAACTTCACGATGTTCGATGTATGCATTCTGAAATAAAAAATACACGTAGTATAATAAATATTATACTTCAAACTCAAGTATGCGAGGAATATTATGTGGATGATTCTGTATGTGAGCAACGAACTCATACTTAGCGAATCTCAGACATGCGATTCGCTATTCAACATAATTTTAAATTTATAATTTGTATCTTTACAACATAATTTTAAATTTATAAACTAGAGAAGAATAAAGAAATCCTTACAGAAATCTTCCTGTTAGAGGCGTTGTGCATTTGACTACCTTATCATATGAAATATTGTTGCAAATGTTCACAAGAAAAAAACCGAATTTCTTTAGAGCAAATTAAGAATTTATATTAAAATTGATGTAAATTAATTGATTGTACGTAAGGAATAATAACTGTAATGATATTTCATTATACTCAAAGTATAAAATATAACATTAAAAGATTACCTTAACTCGTAATTCCTTTAACGGTTGTGGCATAAGAAGCGAACGAATTTGTGTTACAATAGGGCCATCAGTACCCGCGATAATAACTGTATCACCTTCTCTTAACATCCCATTGACTAGAATACAGTCTATCGTAGTACCAAGTCCGGGCAATGCCTTGACTTCCAATACGGTAGCCTGAAGCTCTTCGCTATACATCAATCTTTTAGCCAAAGGACCCTGACAGGCATCAACTATTAACGCCAACAGATTACCCATACCTTCGCCTGTATATGATATAGTGAAATATAAAAAGAATTCAGATATTCTCAGATGCTATGTACACCTTATCTCCAAATATATATTTATACATCGTTTTACCTGTTATAGCACTGGTAGGAACTAACGATAAGTATTCTCTTGGATCTGGATTCTCGTAATACACTGCTGCATTTAAACCTTGCTCTGCAAATTGTACAATAATATCTTTCGACCGCCTTTCGAATTCTCGTTGAGTATTAGATTCTTGATTCTTTACTATATCTTGAACATCCTTACGATTCATGGTCTGCCAATCGTACAATCTGAAAAAATTAAATCGCCATGACTTTAAGACTTAATTTGTGAAATACAAATTATTTAGAATACTAATTATTTAATTGTCAATATCTTGGGGATAAGTTATTTAAAATTACCTATCGATTTTATTGAGAGCGACAACAAAAGGACATTTTTTTGCTTTTAATAAATTGATACTCTCTATAGTTTGTGGTTCCAATCCATGCATAATATCTACAACTAAAATTGCTATATCACAAAGAGAAGACCCTCTATTCCTGAGATTACTAAACGATTCGTGACCAGGTGTATCTATGATTAAGAGACCAGGAATCTTAAATTTCTTGTCAGCAAACTAAAAAGACAATAATATATTACAGTATAATCAAAATTTCAATATTTAGAGATTTAAGTCTCAAACACTTACGCCTTTTACATGTTTCGTTGATTCTTGGATAGCTTCAATTGGTACATTAGTAGCACCAATTTGTTGAGTTATACCACCAGCTTCCCCATCTTGCACATTGGTTCTTCTCAATTTGTCCAAAATCTTCGTTTTGCCAGTATCGACGTGTCCCAAAACACAAACAACAGCAGCTCTCAGATTATCCAAAGATTTCTTTTTTTCCGCTTCTATACGGCGATTTTGAATTCGCTCCCTTGCACGTTCCTTTTTACGTGCAGAATCTGGCATTTTATCTTCTACTTCACTGTCTTCCTCACTTTCATCCTCAGACTCGGATTCACTTCTGCTTTCGCTCTCTATATCGCTCTCGGATGATTCTTTTTTTTCTAATTCTTTTTGAACAGGTTTCTCTTTTTCAAGTGTCTTTAGAATATCATCGGATTTATCTGAAATTAATTAAGATTCAATTACTTTAATATATCATTACAATGATAAGTTTCTAAATAAACTATAATTCTAAAATTTATATCTAAAATAATACCTTCTTCTTCCTGTTCATCATCAGTGGTGTCGGCATCCCACGAATCCTTGACATCGTCTTCTTCTTTTTTTTCTTGTTCTTCTTTCACTGGTTCATCTACAATTTCCACTTGTACCTGAGCTGCAGATGCTTCATTATCAATTTTTTCTTCTTCTTTCTTTTCTACACTAGTTTGTTGCTTTAATTTATTTGGTCTAATTCGTGTTCCTAAAATAATTTCAATAATTAATATAACAACTTTAATAAATTTCTCTGTAAACACATTCTGTAAAAAATATGTACATATAATACCTGGTCTAGGTTTTTTCTCTCCTACTTCAGGCAATTCAACACCTTGAGCTTTTAACGCTTCAATCATTGCTTGCGCTCTAGCTCTATCTTGTTTCTGTTTCGTTGTTAAAAATTTCCCTTCGGCCTTTAATCTTTCTTTTCGTTGTTTTTCTTTTAATTTTTTCTTCTCTTTACGTTCTTGTTCCAAACGCAACTGTTCCAATCTGGCTTGTTCTCGTAATTCTTCTTGTCGTAATCTTTCTTCCTCTTCTCGCTTCAATCTTTCTTCTTCTTCTTTCATTTTCTTTAAAGCTTCCTGCATGGCAGCAATAGTTTTCTTTCCAGGACCTTTACCTATTATAGAAATCTATTATGTAAAAGAAAAATTATTCAAGCAATATAACTAGTAACTGAAATTACCTTTCTCTTTAGTTTCTTCTTTACCACCTTTCTTTTTTTTTTTCTTTGAACCATCTTCAGGCTCTGCATCACCATCAGCTTCTACACTATCTTGTTTCTTTGTTGATGTAACTTTATCATTTTTCTTTTCTTCAGAAGTTGCAGTTTCATCATCTTCTTTCTTGTTACCTTCCTTAGTAATTTCCTATTGTAATAAAAATTAAATAATAGATCTCATTTGTAAGAATACTTCATTTTTTAATTAAAAAGATCTTATATATAAAAGAAAAGTATTTATTTAAAGAGAATCAATAATATATATTTTATCTGTCTTACCGTTTTTTTCTGAGCTAACTTTTTTTGTTTCTCCCTCTCCTTTTTTTCTTTCTTCTTTTGTGCTGCTGTTTTTACAGTGCTAATTTCAGTATCCATATCAGTATTATTAAGTTCCGATTCTACTATATTATTGTCTGTAGTTTCTTCTTTGATATCATTTTTTTCAGCCTTTTCTTTCTTTTTGTCCTTTTTTCCTTTTTTCTTTTTATCTTCATCGTCAAGCTTTTGCTCATTTGATGGCTCTGTTTTAATTTCAACTTTGTTATCTGTTGCTGGTTTTCCAGAATATTCCAGTGCCAACTCCGCCAACGTTTGTTCGATTTCTTCATCACTGTCATTACGCTTTCTCCTACCTATTGACGCAAATATCTTTTAC